TGTCCCCAGAGGGCGAGGCAAAAGGGGAGACCGTTCCTTCTGCTCGTCTCTGAATGTCAAATCACCTCCTGACGTGTCCGCAGGTCACTGCAACCCCCGCGGCCGCACACAGCTGGGCGGAGCTGTGGGCGCGGCCGCGTTGCCGGACTGCCGGCGCGGGGGCCTGAGCAAGCCGCCCCGTCCCCGCGGCCCACCTCGCTGTCCAGGCGCCCCGGCCAGGGTGGCTTACTTCGGGTGCTGCCCTCGCCTTCCCGGGGAAGCTCTGGACGCGCTGCTTCTGTAGCGTGAGGGAGCAAGTCCACTGCGGCCTCTCGCGGGACGGGGCGGCAGGTGTCGGGGCGGCGAGGCCCCCGGGGGGCGTCCCCAGCCGGCTGAACTCAGCGCCGCCGCCCCCGGGCACCCCGGGCCGCGTGGGGCTGCTGGCCACGCCGCTGGCTGTCGTCCTGCGGTGCTCGGAGCTGGGCGGCAGCTCGGGGGCCTGGCTTGGCACCTTCACGCTCACGCTTGCCGGCCTGCCGTGTGAGCACGCACGCTAGGAGACGTGGCGCCCCCCCCACGGGGGTGCGGAGTACGCTTAGCGTACCCAAAAGTCCGAGCTCTGCAAGGAAAAGGTATGGTATAAACTGGAGGCATACCGTTTTTTTTTTTTTTAAAGATTTTATTTATTTGACAGAGAGCGAGACACGAGAGAGGGAACACAAGCAGGGGGAGTGGGAGAGGGAGAAGCAGGCTTCCCGCGGAGCAGGGAGCCCGATGCGGGGCTCGATCCCAGGACCCTGGGATCATGACCCGAGCCGAAGGCAGACACTTAACAGACTGAGCCACGCAGGTGTCCCTGGGTCTATTTTTTTTAAGTTTATTTATTTTTTTTTGGTAACCTCTACACCCAACGTAGGGCTCACACTCAGGATCCCGAGATCAAGTTATGTGCTCTTCTGGCTGAGCCAGCCAGGCGCCCTGGGTACCATTACACGTAATGGGTGTATTGTTAATGTAACGGGCTCGTCATTTTTAAATGTAGTAATAAACATTTTTTTTAAGTCTTCCTTTAAATTTCTAATAAGGTTAACATCAATAGATAGAGGCCATAAAAACAGAAGCCCTTTGAGTCCTGAGTGTCAGGAGCCTTGAGTCCCAGGGCAGCAGTGACGGGAGAGTGCCCTGGGCCCCCACCTCTGCTTGCTCGGATGCTCCTGGGCAAAGGATGTTCCTGGGCAAATCTCGGTTCTCCTCTGTAAAATGTAGGTATGCTGCAGCTTCTGCCCTCAGGCTCTGCTGAGGTTCGAGTGAAGCAATCCGGATGAAGGGGATTATTATCTACTGTTGGGGAACAAGACTCCTAAGTAAGTAGCATCTGAACACTTTCCTCAGCGTTTTCTACCCCCAGAGCCTCTCCCAGGAACCGAATGGTGAGAAGAAGAAATTTAGTTATTTTTAGTTATCAACCAATTTTTCTATTTCCCAGGAAAACACTAGGATTTTAAAAACCAGAAGTAGCTCTCTGTGTTTCAAAATTCAAATTTCGTTTTAGTTCTAGGTGTTTGACTCTTTATTGCTCCATCAAGGAAAATCATTTGAATCCGAATATAGAAATGAAGTATTGCCTGTGGGAAGGAGGTGTAATTTAGAAAAACAGAGCATTGATCTGTTTTCCTTTTGAAATTTTTCTGAACATGCCTGAAGTATTACACGCCTTAGTAAAACCAAGAAATTGGTAAGTTAAAGAGAAAAATGAAACATTTCTTAACTCTGATACAACAGTAGGAGAAAAAAAATTACTACTAATTCCCACGTGGTGGACAATTACTATGTTTATTTGAAATTTGAAAATCAAATAAATGTTACAGCACCTTATGGTGACAGATGGTAGCTACGCTTGGGGGCAGAGTAGGACACCCAGACTGATGAATCTCAGTGTTGTACCCTGAAACTAATGTAACATTGTGTCAACGAGGACAATCAAATAAATGCAGTTGGAAAATTAAATGTCATAGGTTAAAAAATATGGACAGTTCTGAATACACATATTTGATTTGGGGTAACTGACCTTTCAAATCAACCAGCTGACTTGAAAGAGTAACTTTTATAACCTCAAGATGAAACATACTCATGTGTTTTAGCCGTGGACTCTTGTAGTCTGATGATCCCAGAAATACCTTTGGGGAACTGATAAGCCGATCCCAGAATTCCGATACTCAAGTTGCACTATTTAATATACAGTTGTAGCCCCATTGTTCCATTCTGGGCACGTTGCGCAAAATCCCATGCAAATCACAGGTTAGATTTGACCTGATTTCTTGACTGTGGTTGCTTTTCCGTCGCATCCCCTATCCCAGGCTTCTATTTGGCTGCCTGTCCTACTGTGGTTTTCCTTACTGGTAACTGTCACCAGCTCTCCAGTCAACCAGATAGAATGTGTAAGGGACTGTGTGACAGCCAGCGGGCCGTGACAGCGCAGGCGACAGGTGCTGCTTGCCCACGTTCCCAGCCAGGCTCTGCCACTAGGTCTAGCCTCCAGTTTCCAAGGGCTAAAGGGCTCCAGTAGAAGAGGCAGTGGCAGGGAGCATCAGTGCACTCATGTGGATGCTCGAGCAGAATCGGAACAGCCGAGGACCCTCAGGAGCGCTGGCTCCTCCATCAAGAGCTATGGGAAGTCCTCACCCCTAGCCATGGTGCTTACTGGCCCTTCTGACCTGGGCAGGTGATGGGATGGCAAGTGCTCGGCATTCACTTTTCTCCTTGGAGGTCAGGCACACTTCCAGCTTCCCCAATTTCCAAGCTTCTGGGCTGTGACGGGATGTGTGGGGGACCTGGAGAATCCCAGAGACTGTCTGGTCAGATGTGTGCATCACTTTCTCTGCTGGTATGGTGGTGGGCGTGGCCCATCCCCCCCCCACCCCACCCACCCCTGGCACCCAGGACTGTCCTCTCCCTAAGTGGGGTGGCTCAGGTGTGGGCTGGAATTCTGTTGCTGGGATTGTCCTCAACATCCCACTGGAGCTGTGTGATGTCCCCCACTCGACTTCCATTTCCTAGCCGAGCAGAAACACGTAGGAGCCAGGAGGGTGCCTGTCATGCCCCAATCAGTGTTTGCTAGCCCTTATGCTTATGGGATCACCCACCCAGCCGCGCCTCCAACTGCCCTTACTTCTGCAGCACCCTAGGAGCTGGGAGGGAGAGAGAACCCCATCACTGACACCACCGCAGCTTTTGAACAGCTGGGGTCCATACTCGCATCTATAGGCAACGCCCTGTTGTTGGTTTCCCTCCATAGTTTACTTCTGGGGCTGTGCCCACCTTCCCCTCCTGGTCCTCCTCTGCCTCCCTCCTCTTCTGTCTCCATCTGCTCTCCAGTCCTGTGCTCTCCCAGCGGGAAACTGTCCACCTGCTGCCACCGCTTACGTGCCCGGCCCCACCCCCACCTAGAAACACAGGAACTTGGAATAAAATACACAGGTGCTTTCAGTACCCACCGCAGAGATTTTATGACCTAAATTGTCTCAAACACACTCACTCGCACCCCAGCAGTGGGCAGCGACTGGCCACCCTTGAGGCCCTGGCAGGAAGGGGAAGATGTCTGTGTGAGAGAATGACCGCTGGGTCACTTGTCCTGAAGTTGTGTTTGCACATTTTATGGAGAATATGTATGTAGATTTCAGGTGGGTTTCGGTTGTGGTGGAGATTATGGGGCCTAAACCTCCCTCTGCACCCCCAGCCCTGGTGAGAAGTGCTTCTGGCCACCTGTGGAGTTCCATTCTTGCCTGGTGCCCTGATCTGGCGGCCACCTCAACTGAAAACATGGGAGCAGGAGGGGCATGGGGTCTGGACCCTCACACCCTGGAGGTGCTGCTGCTGGGGCACTTTGGAGTTTACCCGCACTTGGTCATGTTCCCGTGTTAGGCCTGAAAAGCATGTCCTATGGAAAAAAATCTCTTGGAGATCTAATGAATTGATAATCCTCCTTAAGAATGCAGGGGCTGCTTATGTGACACTAACTTCTGATGCACTCCTGAGTAACTGTTCACTTGTTCATCTGAACATTGTAGGAGTGTGTTCATGTCTCTACAACTGGAATAGGAGTTGACAGTGAAGATGTCTCATTCATTTTGAACCCCTGTCGTAGCAATAAATCAGTGCTTTGCTCACCACAGTGATCGCTCATTAAAAGAACTCAATGTGTCCTATTTCCTATGTTATTATGATATAATTGAAACCGGACTGTTTGCCTATTCATAAAACTAGGTCTTTAATTTCAGATGACTGTCTTTCAGCAGTGGCATTAACATGACAAAAAGGGAACTACAATGATGCCCCGAAGCGCCTTCTCCCCCGCGCGCTCCCCGCCGACACCAGAGCGCAGGGCGCGGGGCTAGCCTGGCCAGTCTCCCCGCGGCGGGGGGCCTCCCACCATCTTAAAGGCACTGGGCGGTGGTCAAGGACTTTCCCTCCAACGGGCGAGGACTCCGCCTAGGGCTGAGGACGCACCCGGCCCTCCCAGGACCTCTCCCCGCCTCCCGAAGATGAAAACCGGCCCCGGAGGGAGGCGGCGGGCAGTGTCTCCGGCCGCTCCCGCCCGCGCTGCCCCGGCTCCGTGTCTGGTCGCACGCAACAGTCGGTCGTGACACCCGCCGGGCGCTCGACTCCTCCTTCTGCCTCCGCGTCCCGCTCCGCCTAGGCCAGGCTGTGCCCGCGCTCGCCGGGTTCGGGCGGCTGACGCCTGTCCCCGCCCGCGGATCGGGCCGAGGAGTCCCCGAGCTCGGCGGGGGCGGGGGGGGGGGCGGGGCAGGGGGCGAGCCCCGGCCCGGAAGCAAGGAAGGAAGGGTGCTTCGGCTTACGGACCCTGGGTGGGGGCGCCGGGACGTGAGCGAGCCGGGGATGCGGCGGCCGGACGCAGGTGGGTGCGGCGGGAGCACGCGGCGCGGAGCCCGGCCACCCGCGGGGGTGCTCCGGGCCCCCGCGCACCGCCGACTGAGAGCCGCCCGTCTCCTTCCAGGGCGCGGATGACCCGCCGGCTCGACGGTACCATGCCTTTCCCGCCCACGCCGCCGCGGGCGGCCGCCCGGAGCCCAGGGGTCCCCGCCGCGCGAGCCCCGCCCCGGAGGTCCGGCGCCCCCCGGAGGGCCGCGGCGCCCACCTGCGCCCCGCCTGCGCCCTCACCGCCCGCCGCCGCCGCGGAGAAGAGGAGGCCCTCAGAGCGGCCCGAGGGGCTGCTGTCCGGCTCCTGGCCCTCGACCACCCTGAAGAGGCCGCCGGCCCGGCGCGCCCCCGGCCCAGCCCCTCCGCGCGCCCCGGCCCGGCCCGCCCGCTCCGGCCCCAGCTACGCGGGGGCCGCAGGGCCCGACGCCGCCGTGCGCTTCTCGCTGAGCCTGACCCCCGAGGCCGTCCTGCTCCTCCAGAGGCGCCACCTGGAGAAGCAGCTTCTGGTGCGGCCCTGCCGGCCGCCGCCCTCGCCCTCGGCCGACGCCCGGCGCCTGCTCGGGCCCTGCCCCTGCGCCCGCCGCCCGTCGCCCCCCGGCTCCCTGCAGGCCCCCGCCCCGCGCCCCGCGCTGCCGGTGTCGCTGCTCAACGAGAGGCACAAGTACGACGACGTGGAATACGAGGAGGAGCCCCCGGTGGCGGACGAGGGCCTGGTCCGCAAGTGCACGGAGTGGCTGCGCGGCGTGGAGAAGGCGGCCGCCGCGCGCGACCACGCGGGGCCCCTGGACACTCTGCCGCACCTGAGCACGCTGTGAGCCGGCCGGCCCGCTGGCCCCCCCGCGCCCACGCCCGCGGCCACCGCCGGGGCCCCCCCGCACGCCCTGGGGGCTCCCCGGCACCCGCCGCCACCTTCCTGGCGCCCGCGAGCAGGACCGGCGCCCCCGCTGCCCCGCGCTGGCTTCGTGGACCCGCCGCTCCACCTGGCGGCCTCATCTGCCTTGCACCGCACCCCTCCTGGGCTCCTGGGAGCCTGAAGGGCCGGCGTGAGGCACAGGCTCGCCGGCCGCCCCCACCCCGGCCCGCCTCCTGTCCGGGCTCTCCCCACTCTCGGCCCGGACAGCCCCCCTTTCCCTCTCCCACACCCGTGGACTCTACCCCACGAGCTTGCCTCCCGCAGCATTCCGGCCTCCTCGCTCCCGCACATGCCCTTGGGGCTCAGCTGGTCGGGGAGTAAGCCACGGTGAAAATGCCTCGGGTCGCCCACCCCTAAGATTCTTGTATGTCCCAGAGACCCTCTGGCTGGGCCAGTGGTCTGTCACTTTCTCGGGTGCCCGGGTCCAAGGAGAGGTGTCGGCTGGCAGGAGCGCATTCACGAGGGTGGCTGTCTGTCGCAGAACTGGGCGTGGGGCTGCATTTATGATTTTGTTTCTCCAAAATAGAAAACATGTCGGGGGATGGGAAAGCTTGGAAACTCAAGTTAACCTAACTTTCCAACTCGTGAGGGGAAGGGTAGGAACCCCAGCAGTGACTCCACCGGGTGAGTGAGGCTGGATTGGGAAGGGCTTTGTCCACACCGAGGCCGCGTCCAGGCCCCCGTCCTGCCCGCGGTGCAAGCCTGCACACTCTTGCCCACGCGTTCACACGCACGCTCAGTCACTCACACCCATAGCGCTCACTCGTGAACACTTACACTGTCGCTCACACACTCACTGCTCCACACACTGACATACACACACTGTCACACTCACATGGCCTCACACTCGGTGCTCACACACACACGCACACACACCTGTCTCTCACACAGCACACAGCTGTGGGGGTGCTTTTTAAAGGCTGGGTGGAGATGTGAACAGGAGTGAGGCTCAGCTTCTGCTAAAACTCATTGTTTTTATTTGAAGTGCTGCTCACAGAAAGAAAGAAAGAAAGAAAGAAAGAAAAAGAAAAAAAGAAAAGAAAAACGCTAACCACGGGGAGAGGGGGAAATGCGAGGAGCTGTATGTAGATGTAGAACAGAATGTTACAGGCCAGAGGAGCAATTTACTGAAGGAAGCAAGTGGGAGTCGCTGGCTGGGGTGTGGGCTAGATGTGTGTGTTTCCAGTATTTTTAATCACTGTGTAAAAATCAGTAACATGGATGTACAGTTGTGTATAGTGATTTAAAAAAAATTCTTATTATTTGAGTAAAGGGTAAAACTCCTCAGCCTTTTAGGAGCCAGCCATAGCCTTCCCCGCTAACTCCAAGCTGATTTCTCGATATTTCCTCCACGCATCTGATTATATTTAACTCTAAGGTTGAGAAGGAAAAACAAATGTCATCATCAGATAAGGCTGGGCATAGAAGAGTAATCTATTACCTCAACTCTGACTTATTTTGTAAAAGTCAATAAGTAGCTGAATGTTTATCATGTTGAACTTTAATGTGGTAAGTCTTAATTACATCTTACATTGAAGCCTTACATTTTTAAAAACCGATTTTATATTTTTCTTGTGATCTTTGCTCTAGTTTCTCTCTCTCTCTCTCTCTCTCTCTCTCTCTCTCTCTCCCTCTCTCCCCCCCCCCCCCCCGCACAAATCTAGTCAAGCGTGAAGCATTTAATTCAGCGGGGGCTAGGTCAGCCGCCAGATGAGTTGCCCAAACAAAACCCCTCCCACTGAACAGCCTGTGTTGTCTGAATGCAAAGAGCTCGGTTGTCTTTTATTTAAAATGAATGTACTAATACCAGGGAGGCGCAGGTGGCAATCTGGCCGGGGGTGACATGGAGACGTGTCCCATGGATGCTGCGACGGAGGCAGAGTGCTGGCCCTCGACGGTGCCCGGCGGGCTCAGAGTGAGCTGAGGGTGCAGTGCGCTAACTTGCTCTGTGCGCTCAGCGCAGAGACCAGCCATTGAGAGACCAAGCTTTCTGCTCCTTACAGTAACGCTTTAAAGACTGTCCTAAAGTAATCACTTCTGCAAGCATCTTTCCGTGTCTGCCTGTGTGTGTGTGTGTCCCGGGTCCTGACGCTGCCACAGCGTGTGGCTCTGTGTGTCCCTTTCACTTCTTTGTGTCTCTTTTCCCTCCCCCCTCCTTCTCTGGGTCCCTGTCCCCATCTCTCAACTGGCTGCAGTGAGACACTGAGCTCTTTCTTCCCCATGGCTTTTGTCGAACAGAGTTTTTTGTGCCTTGTTCTTCACTGTAAAGGCAGATGAGTGGAACATTTATAATTCTCTGTTTGATGACCCTCAATAAAAACAAAAGGTTCTACACATGACACGATGTCTCTTCATGTTGTTGCTGACATACTGAGAAGGTTTTTTGAGTCCCTGTGCTGCACTTTCTTAATGTTCAAATAAAAGAGAAATTCAATGCCTCATGTTTTCTTTTTGAGGAAGATTTTTTAAAAACTGGTCGGGAAGAGATTCCTAAGGTGTTTGGAGTTGGAGTGGGGCGGTCCTTCTGTGTTGTTGCCCCACCCGAGGGCCTGGGATCCAGGGATCGATGGGGGTCCATTGGCTCTGATTACTACCAGCAATGACCAGGATTTTAAGAATTCTAATGATGGTCCAATATTATTGTAATAAAGCTGTTGGGGGCATCTGGGTGACTCAGTCGGTGAAGTGTCTGCCTTCGGCTCAGGTCGTGATCTCGGGGTCCTGGGATCAAGCCCCATGTCGGGCTCCTTGCTCAGCAGGGAGCCTGCTTCTCCCTCTGCCTTGTGCTCTCTCTCTCTCAAATAAATAAATAAATAGCCTTAAAAAAAAAAAAAAGCTGTTTGGCAGTGATACTTAACCTTGCTTCAAATCGCAAACCCCATGCAAGCTCTTTTCCAAATCCGCTCCCCAGATGTACCACATGACAACAAAACTCTGCGTCCGTGTCAGGAAGCTCACCCCATGCATGCTTACTGGGCCACTTCTTACTTGCTGAAAGTAATTTCAAACTGGTAGGTCACACCAGTTAGAAGCTGAAGGGTCAGTTTGAATAGTAGTGAGGACTATTTGATTTCTAGAAAGGGTGGTATCCCCTAGTAAGTGTGGTTTAGAATTCTTTAGAATTCTTTAGAATATTTGGGTTCACAGAGGAAAAAAAATAATACAAGGTGTCCATGGAAGTAAGACGGTTGGGAACGTGCTCTCTCTGTGGAAGTGCTGGTATTATGTCAGATTTTCCCGTGGCCGCGCTGTCCTGCAGCAGGGGGCAGGAGCCCCCACCGCAGAGGCTGAGCCTTCAGGGTGGGGGTGAGAGATCATCTAACACCACGGTGCAAGCGAAATGCATGTAACATTCTAGAGAATGGGCGTATATGACCTAATTCCATATGTTTAGGGAATACCCTAGCACTTCAAGACAGATTTTTATGTTGATCTCCTTTATTTCTGGAAAAAGGAGATGGCAAAAGTCAGAACCTTTAGGTTTGTGGTTTCCCTGGAAAGTGCCCAGTTCCGCCAGGTGGATGATCTACGGGATCTGCTCATATTAAACTTACTCTGACCCTGCACTTTTGCACCTGTTTTTTAGCATGGAAATTTCAGCCAAAGCAAGTCCTGAACTATGTCTATGCAGAATGAGCAGTAAGAACACCTGTGTGTTGCCCGTAATACACACAGACACCGTTGTCACCTGCGGGGTGCTTGGAGTGGCCCAGTTCAGACCAGCATCACCTTGTCCAGTTGGAGGCGGCTTCTCCCACGGCCGGGGATGGGAGCCTCAGGCCCAGGTTAGAGACTGAGCACGTCTCTGGTATGGTCCAGGAAAACACCCCTTCCCGTGTTTAAAGGTCAAAGACAGATTTTCCATACTGATGCTGTCCTGTGTCAGCCGTACCCCATTAAATGTCTTCGTGTCCTCTTCTCTAAAATGGGGATAAGATGACGAAGCAGATCCTGGTAAGGATTATGATGAGATGTGTGTAAAGCACTGGGGACAACCTCTGCATGTCGCCAGCTCAAGGTCAGCTGGAATTATTACTACCTCAAAAAAACCTCACTACTCATTATAAGACATTATTCTCTGGCACTTATATGTGCAAAATCAATACCCAACTTGGTTATAATATTCTGAGGTTTTTCTGTCTAATGCATACCTGTGGTGGGGGATCTACACGTTTATTTTCCTGAGGAGTTTAAAAATAAAAGTGTCTATTGTGCTTTACCTTCTTATTTCAAAATTATTTATTATTTATGTTCTGAATACAAAATTTACCTCTGAGCTGGTAGCAAAGACAAAATTAAAAATAGTAAGTTATATAATTTCAATATCCAATAATGAGAACACCGACCCGTTACAGAGACAAACTTTTTCTTGGAGAAAACGATTTTTGTGTTATGTTTATATTTGTATACAAACAATGGACAGTATCCTTAAATGCAGTTTCTGGAAGATGCATAGATGTTCTTCAGATCAATACTTGTTCTTGATAAAAGCCAGTGGGAGAATATCCAGTTGCATCCTCTCCCACATTGGCCCATCCCGTCTTGCAGACGTGGGTTGTTATATGGAAACCTGCAAAAAAATGGTAGAGATTCTTTAGGAAGTAGTTTTAGATCATTAAGTACTGGCTGAAAACTCTAGAAAATTGTATATGAATTCCTGAACTTTTAGGTCTCAAAGACTAAGTTCTTGAGGGAGGCCAAATAACTTTTGTTTATGTGGATTCTATCCTCCAACACTTCCTGCATTAGAAATAAAAACCAAGACCCAGAAAGGGCCTGGGGACCCTCAAAATCTTCGGGCCACACTGTGAGAACCACTACATCTGACATACTGGGAAAACATTTCAAGATACAGATGATCTGGACCCCAAACCTAGAGACCCTAACTCAGGAGATCTGAGA